GTGCCCCGCAGCCAGCGCTCCCGTAGGGCGCGCAGCCCGCCGCGCACCGCGGCCTCCAGCCCGGCCCCGCGCCGCTCCGCCGCCGCCATGGCGCCGCCCGCGCCCGCCGCGCACGCTCCGCCAGCGCCCGGCCGCTGCCCCGGGCGGCGGCCGCACCCACGCCCAGCAGCGCTCTTTGCACCGCAGCCCGGGAGTCCTTGGAATGCGTGGCTTTAATGCAACACAAGTACACATTTCAGTTGGAAAGAAGAAAAAGAAAGTCAGTGACGAAGACTGTGCTCTTATGCCACAAATTTTCTTCTAGCACAGACAATGCAGTGGATCTTAGCTATGGGATTTCACAAAGTAATGCAGCATTTGTTTTGCAGTTGTTGTGTTCCACCCTTGACCTTTTAAGGGTCCCTCACATACAGCCACATACTTTGTTAACATGTTTCTCCCTGTTTCTTGGAAATCCAGCGATATGCTCTGTGATCTGCTGTCCAGGTCACTGTCAGACACCGGGTCTATTGACTCAAGGCTTTCCTGCTTCCCTTCCACTGCTCCACAGTGTTTCAGTCCCCAGTAGCACATTTCTCCACTGTACATCATTGCTAGTAAGTGAGTGTCACTAAATATACCTGCAAAAATAATTTAGATCAAGTACTTCATTATTCTGCTATAAGCAAGTACACATTAAGTATTAACACAAAAGTATTAACAAGCTTGTTAATTCTTTTTCAGTAACAATGGGGAAGAAAGTTCCAAAAAGACAGTATAAGTATATAATTATATAAATATATAATTCCCAGAAGAAAACCATGGATCAAGACCATGCTCATTTGTCTGTCCAATTTGGCCCTCCTTAATGTTAAAATATTTTAAGACTGCCATATAAATATTATTTCTATAATTTTGTTCGCCTAATTATCTCATAGAATTTCAGTATTTCTTTACAGCCTCTTTAGCACAGGCATGACTGTACATATTTACTCGAGTATTTCTGTGCCTCCCACAGGTTTAAGCCTAAAAGATACTGTCTGAGGTCATCTTAACTTAGGTGAACCAGCAGTAGCTTTATTAGTACTTGAATTCAAAGGCACACGTGTGTCTTTCACCAAAAAAAAAAAAAAAAAAAATCGTGCTAAATAAATCCACAATCTGCCTTTACATTACGGAGGTATACAGCAGTAATGTCACTTCAGACATAATGTCACTAGACAAGAAGGTGCTGCATATCCTGCTACAGTCAGAGTAGAGCTGTTTTTGAGTGTGCTCAACATGGACATCATGTTCTTAGCACCAGTTGGTTTACCTCGCAAATTCCCTCCTGCTGTATCACCCTACCTGCATCACACTGATGCAGCCTAAGATCCTCCTAGAAACACTCAATAGGAATGAAATTTACATAAAGCTACATAAAGTGGTGACAGAGAACATTTGCCAAATCTAACCACTTCTGCTTGTAGTTTTTACCTGTGAGAAGTCTGTAATTGTGTTTGTACCTGTGCTGTCCTAGAGCTAAAAGGGAACATCAATATGTGAACCTCTGGCACTCTCTGCAGTCATATTTGTGCCTTCAACATCTGTCAGTTGTGAACTGGATGGTTCACAATAAAATACAGTGTACAAACGCTGCCACTAAAACACTACTGTGAATCAAACACTCATTGCCTCAGTTCACCTTGCTCCAGGACACCCATAAAACACCAGGAAATTGAGCACTGACACCTCCTAAAATTCATGAGTCAAAAAAGAAAAAGGCGGGGCCACTCTTGCCTGCTTATTTGCCTCTTTATTATCTTTTTGTTCTAAAAAGTGTTAAGTCTTGAACATAAACTAGGCCAAGCAATAAAAACACACAAAAATTGAAGCAATTTCATTTCATAAAGTGAAGCAGTTATTAAAGAGGAGTGGGTTAAAAGGTTTTTTGGAGTTATTTTTTGGGGTTTTTTACCTTCACTGAGTAATCTAGCTGTGTCTTTATCTTGAAGTGAGATATCTTCATCTAGCTGAAGAGGGCATCTAACGCTAAGCATCTTCATCAAGTATTGAACTCCATCATTAAGACACTGAGTACAGTTAAAAATAAGGAAAAAAAAAGTTCTTGTTAAATTAATGATATGCAGAAATACTTCCTATGAAGCCCCAAAATCCTAATTAAAGAAAAAAAAAAAAACAGAACAAAAAACACAGCCACATTTTAAAAATGACCAATCAAACTTTAACACTGTATTCGCAAGCTCATAGAACATTTTCATGTCCTTTACCTTTTTAAATGTGGCAACATTTTCTTGTAGCCATTCACTCCTTTCTTTTGCTGTGTGGCAATACATGTAAAGCAGGGCTCCTTTTCTCCAGTAAAGACATTCTAACAACTCTGCACCAAGAAGGTCGATGGGCTGAAATAAAATCAAACAAACTGGTCTAACACAAAAATAAACCACCTGAACTACTTATAAGCACTGGCACACATGCAAACACTGCATAAATCTCGTACTTCAGGGACTGTGTTTGACATCAGCAGAGACACAAGCCTAGCCTAACCTAACACTGTAGGTCAAATAGAAGTGTTAACTGCCTATGGAATCATGAAATGTTAGCAAGATAAATTCTGAGCACACAACAAGGCATTTGAAACAATATTTTCAGTAATTACTATTTCAATACCAAAGAGACTTGAAAATGTTTCAAAATACTTTAAATTCTGCCCATCAAAAATACAAACACTATGTCCCATTTCAGACTTTTCATTTTTAAATAATGAAATAATTCACCCTCTGACTACTCACTTCTTTTATGCTGCATTCCCTCACTAGGTCTTCTGGTTCTGAAAGAATGGAAATAAGTTCTTTAAGCTTTTGCAATGCAGATTCTTCTGGAAAATCTTCATCCACAAGCTGGTTTTCCTCAAAATATGTAATGTCTAAGACAGCCTATGAAAACAAGAACATATACAAAATTGAAATGCTACCATCAAAATAATCAAATGGATGTGTGTTGACATAGAAAAAAATGTTAGTTTATAAAACATCACAATTTGAAAGTATTTTTTAACATTTAGTTGACAAAATGTGCAAGTTAGAAGTATGGAAGGATTAGTGATGGTGACTGTCAAGCCAAATCCCTTTCTGTCCCTAAAATAACATCATGAACGACTCCAAGTCATCCAAGTCAAAAGCAGTTCTGTGCTTCACAGACGCTCACCACACACCCCCAAATAATCGACCTGCCTTTCTGCCCCACCCTCCTTTTTTACACCAAACCGTCTCCCACTCCCTACACGCATTTTCTTGAGAGGCAGTTTGATGTCCGTAACAAATACCTGGGTATAGAGCTGAAAAAGCGTGGAAGGATGTTCTTTCCCTTCGTTGCAGAGGTCCTTCAACTTGTCCAGATTAGCAGAGCCTTTCTCCAAGAAGGTATCTGAGGGAAGAACACAACGCTCCCTTAGCACCGATGAGCACTCAGCAGGAGCCTGGCTCACGCTCCTTTTTCGCATGGTTTAATCATCCATCCTTGGGGCATCTACAAGAGCGGCTGAACAATACAGCATTGAAGCAGGCCAGCCATCCTGCCAGACCGCACCTTTCGTGATTAAATTAAGGCCATCCGCAGCCAGGCTCTGATGCTCTCAAGCGCACACGCCGTTTGCCAAGATGCCCTCGGGGCCGCCCGTGCCCTCGAGCCGCCCGCGCCGCCACCCCCGGTCCCCTCGCCCCCCCGGCCGCTCACCGCGGGCCCCGGGTGCCCCGAGCCGCCGGCCCAGCGCCGCCACCCGCGCCCGCAGCGCCGCCGCCGCCATGGCCGGCCCGCGTGCCGCCCGTCCGCGCAGGCGCAGCAGCGCGGGCTGGGGGGGCGGGAGCGGCCCCGGCCCCGGCCGCGGCCCCGGCCCCGGGCAGCGCGGGGAGCGGGGCGCGAAGCGGGGCCGGGGCCGGGGCCGTGCCGTGCCGTGCCGTGCCGTGCCGTGCCGTGCCGTGCCGTGCCGTGCCGTGCCGCTGCCGCCCGACCCCACCGGGACACCCGGCCCGGGACATCCGGCCCATGATCCCGGCCGGACGCCGCCAGCCCGCCCGCCCTGCGCGTATTGTTGGCTGGGACCCTGAAAGCTCTTTGATAAAGAGAAGGGTCTGGCGTCTGCAGTGCCGTGTCCATGCCCCAGGGAGAGACCCTGTGTTTCAGAATTTATGGAATCAATTTACAATCAATTACAATCTTTTTTGGAAAAGACCTCTGGTTCCAACCTACGACCGAATATCACAATGTCGACCAAACCATATTACTGAGTGCCACGTCCAGTCTTTCCTTAAACAGTTCCAGGGACAATGACTCCATCACCTTCCTGGGCAGCCCATTCCAAGATCTAATCACCCTTTCCGTGAAGCAATTGGAAACAATGTTTTGTGAAGTGTTTTGTAAAATGCTTCGCGGAACAGTCTTAAATGCAACATAGATCTCCCATGGCACAGGATGAGATTACTTCCTCTCTTCCTGTCTCTGGTTGCCTGGAGAAGAGGCCAACCCCATCTGGCCACAGGCTCCTTTCAGGCAGCTGTAGAGAGCGATAAGGTCACCTCTGAGCCTCTTTTTCTCCAGGCTAAACACCCCCAGCTCCCTCAGCTGTTCCTCACAGGACTTGTGCTGCAGACCCTTCCCCACCTCTATTGTCCTTCTCTGGACTTGCTCCAGCACCTCGATATGTTTCCTGAATTGCGGGGTGCAGAGCGGGATTTGAGGTGTGGCCTCACCAGTGCCCAGCACAGGGGGACAATCCCTGCCCTGGTCCTGCTGGCCACACCATTGCTGATCCAGGCCAGGATGACATGGGCCTTCTTGGCCACCTGGGCACACCCTGGATCATGTTCAGCTGCTGTCACCAGCACCCCCAGGTCCTTTTCCACTGCAAAAATTTGACTGGGGTTTTGCCCCTATCAATGAGTGCTTTCCAGCCTCACTGCAAATTAGGAATTGCCCATAAAACAAACTGAAACAAAGGCAGCAATGATCAAGCCCACACTTACTTTTCAATAAATGGGTTTGGGTTTTTTAAACTACATTTTAGCATTTAATTACTTAAAATGCAGAAGTACAAGAGTAAAAATACATTAAATAATCCTGAAACTAAATACCTTTGATTAGAGAAGCGAAGCACTTGCTCCAACATTTTGTCCAGATTTTAATAGTACTCTTTATGAACTTCATAAATAATAAAAGAGTTTGCATATATGAGAGGAAAACTAAGTTTTCCCTTTATTTTTAACAACATCTTCCTACTATGTGACAGTCATTCATCAAATACTTTGTGTTGTCTAGTTATAAAAGTGCTAAATTTTATGGTATTGTTTCCCTAGCCTTCTCCATATCTTTACCTACCTGGGATACCTCAGTGCCTATTCTAGTAAAGTAAAACAAACTCACACAATATTGAGAATTTTGTCAACTTGAATATTTTGAAAGAATAATTTACTAAAGACCTTTTCCCATTTTGAGGTCATATGATGTTCATTCTGTCGCTGCCTATGTTCCACCAAAGTACCTAAAAAAACCAACCAACCAACCAACCAACCAACCAACCAACCAACCAACCAATCACTCACCAAGCCTCCCCCTCCTTGCATCCCCCCAAAATAAAGTGTCATTTACTGGAGTACTTTAGAAGTGAAAAGCTGTCTACTAACAGGCAGAGTTATTTTTGCTGTTATCTGTCTTATGTCTTATGAAAGAGTTGCCAAACACATTAAATACAACCAAAAAAAATAGAACCTAAAAATAAAAATTATGTTTTCTTCCCAAAATGGTTTGATTATAGAAGAAATCAGTGTTTTGATTGGCTATGTATTGTTGTTCATTCCTGCATAGTTGGTCTTCAGATACAATTTTTCATCAAAGGAACAGCTGTGTTAAGAATACCAAAAGTATTCTGGTAGCTAACTTGTGAGCGGAGAAGATGGTGCTTCATGCCTTAAGTGAAATACAGCACTTTCCATGATGCCAGCTTTGTGACTGAAAAAGGCTTGTGAGATTGAAACATCCCCTTCTTCAGATCCTTTGTTTTCTTGGTCCTTACTTCTCCATTTCAATCCCCAGCTATGATTTAAGTGTTGCTTTTTTTTCATACCAAGTCAAGTGGGCAAGTGCATCAGCCCTTCATAGTGAAGGAGACGTCACCAGCCTTCAAGATGTCTCCTGTAAAAAAAAAAAAAAAAAAATAAAAAAAAAAAAAAAAATTAAAGACCCCCAAACAACCTAAATCAGAACAAAACACCAAATGGTTGTATGTTGACTCATCTGCTAAAGGAAGTGGTATTTTTTCTTCCTGTGCTTCAGGCACTGCTGCAGCTTACTTTAGATGAATCCATTTTCAAAGCTATGTTTATATATGCAGTGACTGTTTTTCACAGAAATTGTTATTCACTCTATCTGTAAATATCCAATGAAATTTGTTTTGACCTTATCAGTTGCTGAAAGATGTGTGTTTCTGTTAATTCCAAGATGGTAAAACAGAAGCTGCTACAACGGTTAAAAAAAGGTGGTAGCACACAATTCTCTTGGAATATTTGTAGTGTTTGGTTTTTTTATTTCCCCCAACTTGATTTTTCTTATGAAATGTGTAAGGGAGCAGAAGATCTCTCTAGAGGCATTTTTCTTGGCATTTGTTTCTCTCATACCCTGCATACTCCCACTGGGAGCTGGTTTGTGAGCAACAGAGATGACAGGACTTCTGGGCAAGTAACTGAGAGACTGCAGAGCCTGGAAGAGGGTTGAGGGGCTGAACCAGCATGGGGTGCTGCCTCCTTACTGCAATTGGCAAGTCTTCACCCCAGTCAGCCTCTGCTTCTCTTCTGCCTGGATTGGGCTCTGAACAGCCTCGTGCCCATCCCTTCCCCAAGCTGTATTCCCTTAGGCACCAAACCCCCAAGCTCTGTTTTGAAGTTTTTGGAGCTGATGTACTGTTGGGAAGGGTAGATAAATATGATTAAGAACCACAATAGTACAGCCAGGCCGAATATAACACCCCCTACTGGCTGGACAATCACCCTCACCTACAGCCAAATGGACTGTTCCATCTCACCCCCCAGAATGTATGGTTCACCCCACACCTGTAACCCTCCCCTGAACCATCAGGTGTCTGTGACCCCATTGGCCCAGGTCCTGTTCCAGCCCACCTTGGAGCCCCCTTTGATAAAGGCTCTCCGAGGGGCCGGACGCTCTCTTGGATCTTCCCTTCTCCTCCTGGAGCTTCCTCCGGGAGTCCCTGCTCCCCTCTTTGTCTCTCCCCTCCCCCATCACCTTAGGCCCAGCCACGTGCTGTGTCTAGCAGCTCGAGGCAGGGCCTTTCTGCATCCTGAATAAACCTCATCCCCCAAGAGCAACCACAGAGATCTCGCTTGTATCTGTCCGTGGAATACAAATAAACGTCTTTACAATGTACCTGCCTTTTCCTCACACCATGCAAAGTGCACGAGTCTGAAAAGATTGGTGAAAGACAAGGTGTCTGATTATTTGAGGAAATGGTGACCTCAATTGCCTTATTTTTTGCTTTTGCTTAGAACCTGTTTGAACGAAATAGTGTCTGTCAGATATTTCAAGGAGAGTGGACTGGTTCAGGGTTTGCTGAACCTCTCACCATTCTTCTCAGAGCTTGGGAAATGTAGCATTCAAATTTCTAGAGCTTCACATGAAGGTGCATCAAATATTTTTCTGAATATTTCTATGTTTAAAAAGAAGCTCTGAGTGACACCATAAATTATGTTGAAGCAAAAAAATTTATCACTTCATATTCAAGGGAACAGTTACGATAAAATGATCTCTGGTGAAGGAATTCAGGTGGGATTTGTGCTCTTTCAGTGCCTAGCACTACCTGTTTTAAGGCTACAATATGGATGAGATAAGGTGTTTGCTATTTAGAGACACGCTCTGTTCCTAAATTGATGGAAGAATAACAGGAAGAGTGCTGTTTTGTGTCAACAGTGTGGTTGATGGAAGAGGGAAATCAAGGGAAATCAATTTTGTCCTTCAGGGGCAATTGCCACTACAGTTCTCCTGATATTTTGGGTTTGTATATAAATTTATCTCTATGTATATGTGCATGTATGTATACGCGGTATAAATATAAAGTGGATGCTGTACATTGCTACATTGGATTCTGTAGCTTCTTTTCTTGCAAACCACATTCTCTTCTTGTCCTTCTGGTGTGTGTGTGTGTAAATGTGCATTCTGATAGAGAACAGGCTGGTTGTAATACGCTTGGGAATTTTTTTGTCCTGTGGTATTCCATCAAAAAAATTGCTAACTGTCCTGATATATGTAACTGTGAAACTGGGCTAGCCTGACATCTCCAAATACCTGAAAACTTGGAACATACTAGAATAAGTAATGTATTGGATATACATATTTACTCTGCTTTGGTAGCTCTAGGATATTTATTATTTATATTGAATGTTAAAGAAACAGTGCTTAAACACAAGAGAGTTGTTCCTTTGTGTTTTTAATATTATTTAAACTAGGGAAATGTCTTTAGCTTTAATCAAAAATACAGTATCATCTAAGAAATGCAGATTTGCACAGCAGTGATTGATAAATTTTTATCATTATTAGCAGCTTCAAGATCTTTAGAATTGTGCAAATTTTCTGGAACTATGACACTTAAAATAGGTAATATTTATAATTACCTCATATGAACTCTTGGGAAAAGTATCCAAGAGAGGAATTTTGTTGGGTTCAAGTGAACTGTATGTTCATAGAATCATGAAGGAGCCCATAACGATCAGCAAGTCCAACTCCCTAATGTCCAACCTGAACTTCCCCTGGTGCAGCTTTGTTCCATTTCCTTGTGTCCTGATGCAGGTCACCAGAGAGCGGAGATCAGCACCTTCCTTTCCTCTGCCTCCCTGTTCCTGGTTAGGAGAGTGCAGATTCCTGTGAAGTCACCCCTCAGCCTTCTGACTGCTGACTATTTGGATCTCTGGAAAGAAAGCTAACTTGCTTCTAGCAAATTAGTCCTCGATCAGAGATTATAAAGCCTGATGATCACTGGATTTCTTAATGCTTGCTTTGTTTATAAATTGACTCCTAATGTTATGGGGGGAAAAAAAAAGGGGGGGGAGGAATGGTTGTGTGGAGGTGGATGTAGTTAGTAATGGAAAAAAAAAAATTGAATTAGAGACATAGAAAGATTAGATCAGACCTGATCAGACAAGACTCAGAAGTTGTTAGATTTATTCCTTACCTGGCAGATTCCTAACAGTTTTACAGTCTGTAAAATTTGTGTTTATTGGTCAAAATTTGTGTTTAAAATTAACAAGGACAGTATCATGGATGTTCGTACAGATGTATTTGGCTAGTTTGAGTTTGTAGCAAATAAATCAGCATAGCATGCTTCAAGTCCTGTAGAAAATGGCAGAAGTTATAAGACTGTATTTGGTACAGCATCTTAGAATGACATGGAATTACTATGATTTCAAAAATAAGTATTTGCCCTTATTTTGCAAACATGAATAATCAGTTGAGGAGTACAAGAAGAGTTGGTTATAAAAATACTTGAGTAAAGTTAAATTTATTAAAATGTATATTTGGTCGTCCACTTGTCTTTTATCACTGTATTATTTGAAGTAGATATTTCTGTTATTGAATATAAGCATAATAAATATTTGTATTTATGCCTAGAAAATATGAAACAGAGGTATTTATTTACTGTAGGTTAGCTTCGTGTGGTTGTAACTAATGATAACTCTAATAATATCTGATGGTCAATAGTATGGTAATCGCCTTTCAAGACACCCTTCACCTTCAGAAAAGGAGATATACATTCTGCCTCTTTTGCTTCATGGCTTTGCAATTATCAGGGAAGGAGAATAAAACTGGCATTTACTCATAGTAATGCTAAGGAAGTGGAAAATCATTGCCAGACATTTCCTTCATGACTGTGGAATTAAGGACTATGAAATGATTTCCAGAATCTTGACTCATATGGAATAATATTATGGGATTATTCATAATGTCATTAGTAATGATATTATAAAGGGCAGTATCCAATTCAGTCATCCCTCTTAAAATTGGGCTGTGTAGTCTGAAATATATCCAGGTGAGAGCATCTGATATTCATATTGTCCATGCCAAATGTAAAATCAGAGAATAAGGGTGATCTGTAATGGAATTTTACCTTTGTGTTAATAGATGTGGAATATATTTATTTTGGAGAGGCATATGAATGCCAATGATTAGAAATTGCTGGTGTGTCATATTTCTATTTGTCTGATCTTACATGGCTGTTCTTTGTTCTACCTGTTTTCTATTTTGTTTGTAGTTCAAGTGGTGCCCTGACAAAATATGAATCAGCTGCTTTCTTACAGCCTGCCACTGGAACAATGTGGAACTGGATTTGAAATAGGTTCTAACCATAGAATGTAATTTAGCAGTTTGCTATCTGGTTGTTAGAGTGGCATGCACTGATCTTTGATCTTGGAACTGCTGTCTTTTAAAGTGACCTCCCTAGAAGAGGGGAGCATTAAAGACTGACATATAGGAACTTCTTCCTGTTTGAGGTAGATCTGAAGTAATTTCTTTTTAGAAAGTAATCATAAATCTTCTGTACAATCTTCTATAAGTAATGAAATGGTTTCTTTTCAACAGGCAGGGAAATCTGGGTTTGTCTGTTACATGGTTAATGAACAAAGAATGGTGTGTACACTGTATGCCTTCATCCAGAGGAATGCTGTGCCGCTCATGCCTCATTTTTTACCTTCTGTCAGTGTTGGTCTGGGAGAACTTGCTTACATAAGTCTTCACCCCAGTCTCCAAATGTTACAGATCACTGTGTTTGTAATTTATGGTATTATTTCACAGCCAACTTACAACAAACACAAAAGTAATGTTCTTTGGTCAAACTGACTCTTTTAAAAAACATGTTACTACATGTTCCCATCTTTAATTGTATTAATTCTAGAGTCTAGTGTGATGTTTTGGTTTGCAGCATCAGCTCTCTTGTTTGACTGAATGCTGCCCATTTCTTGACAGACCTAGTATGTATCTGAATCATCAAGCTGATGTCTGAATATCTTTAATATGTGTAGCATTCCCAAATAAAGAGAGAATCTTTATTTGGAATTTACTGAAATTTTTTGCCTTTGTAAGAGGTTTTATACAGATAATTCCCTTGGATCATAGCAAAATTAAATCCACTAATTGGGGTGTTGTATTAATCTATGTAGCACTTAGCACTGAAGCTTTTCTTGTTCTTCTGGGGTTTGTCTTGAGGGCAAAAAACCCAAACCAACCAATCAACATTCCTGAAAGGATCATGCAATGGATAAAAATAAATTAATAAAGTGTACTTGAGGTGTACATGAGACAGGTGACATGCCTTAGTCTGGCAAGCATTACTCTTGGAAGAAAATTAGTTTAATCAGCTGCTTGGGTCTCTTGACATGTTGTCCCACTCTCTATAACACTGACTTTTAAATTGTGTGTACATGATTGCATCAAATTAATGTGGCTGGAAGGCTCATCTGTGTTAAAAGCCTCCTGACCCCTCTTCCTGTACTACAGCAGGATGTTCAGCTGTGCAAATCAGTGCACTGCCCTTGCTTGAGCAAGAAGTCCATGTTTGTTGTATGTTAGATGTGGAGGAGAATGTGAGTTGTCTGTGGTGTTCTGGTTGGTTTGCTGGAAGTCTGCTACCTGTGAGTGCAACTGCCAAGAGTACCCTCTTGAGCCTATGGTCAACTAAATACCCCATCTTCTGAAGTCCTAAGAAAATAAATACAAACATACTGAATTTGATGACCTAATCTTGTCAAAGGTAAATCCTCTGTTACAGTGTGCAACTGTTGAAGTGGCAAACTATGATAATGATAAGGTTTTACCTTTGAGATAAACAAAAAATTCAAGGTTGTTTACCAATGTTCTGTTTCCTGTTGTGCATAACTTGCAAGCTAAGTGAAATTCTCCAAGTGATTGCTTGAACTTATTAACAATATAAATGTGCTACAAGAAAAACCTATCATGTTTATTACTTGGATAAATGATCTAGTAATGTGAATTATACATTCTAAAATGATGTGGGGGTCTTGAGACCTTTTTGCCATTCCCATAGCAATTACTTTCAATCCAGTCTTACTGGTTATCTTTGCTACATAATGTTCCCTATGCCAAACTTGCTACAGAAGCAGCACTTCATTGGTGCCTGCTAGTTTTAATTGAGAATGGGCATTGGTACTGAGAAGACAAATGTCAAAGACCTCGAAGCCATTTGTGTTAGAGAGTTCAGCAGGGTGCCACGGGGTGTCACCAACGCGCCCAGTACAGTCCAGCTTTTAACCAGCACATCTCATGGAAGTGATGTCAATGTGAAATGATTGTGTTTACTGAAATTGCAAAACTCGAAAACCAGAGCATGGAAATCTTCATCAAACTGACCCTAAAACAAACTATCAGGATCTCTGATGAGATGGTCAGATATGCTGAAATTGAGAGCAAGAAACCCAAGAGCTTTGCAACAAGCGACTCTGTGCTTTCAAATGCAGGGAATCTTCTGCTTAGGCTTAGCAGGCTTCAAACCTCCTTCTGAGTGTGTACTTGAAGAATCAGTTTTAAAATCAGGCAGATTTACTTTACCAAAACCAGGGGATAGCTGAAGGAAAACATGATACTCTTAGACTCAAGGATTCTAAGAGGCCATTTAAAAAGATGGAGAAGTGAATTGTAGGAGTTCATTTTAAACCACCTTCCAAAAAAATTAACAGCAAAAGTTTCATATTTTTCCATAGATCTTGTGTGCAAGTTCTTATATTTCTTACTAATTCTGTTAATTTGCTTGTGACTGAGAAGTGAAATGTCACTGTAAAGGGCTGTCTGCTTTTAGACATGCAAGTTTTGGATTGTTGAGAATACTTACCAAGCCATTGATAAACTGCCCACTGGAAGCGGTTCTGACCTCCAGACAGCTGCCTCTTCTGCAGCTGGATGGACTAGAAGAATTAGGAAAAACAATTAGCATCCAAACCAGCTGGAAGATGGATTGTCACTTGTTTTTTTCAGTGCATGCATTGAATTTTCTCCCTTGTCAATAGATGATAAAGTAATTACAAGGCCTTAGACTACATGCATGAGTTTGTGTGCTAGATTCTTGTAGACAAGAAATGGTGCTTTCTAATTAAGCTCCACACCCATGAAATAGATGGCAAAGTCCAAGTTTCAAAGAGGAAACCACAGTTGCAGGTGAAACCTGCTGACCAGGCAGGTGTTCCCTTTCTTAATTTACAGCTGTGGCAGCTTGGCCTTGTAGACTTATTGTATAGCACTAGCAAGGTGTGGAATAGGGTGTGTGCATATGATCTGTTTACTGAATACAACCTCTGCAAAAGAATACCTGCATAATCTCTTAGGGCTCTGTATTCATGCTGTATGTTATGTATCAAATGGAAAGAATAAAATTGGCTTACTAGCAGTTTTACAAAGTCTACCTCTGTTCTGTTTTTATGGTACATTCTGTTGCTCTTGAGGCTTATTTGAAAGAACGCTCTGCGGCTTATTATTGTAACATTATTGCAAAATTCAGAAAAGCCTGTTACAATAGTGCTACCAAACATGAACTGACTTGTCCTGAGACAGCTTCTTGTTTCTACAGCCACTTTTTCTATATTTACCCCTACAGCACCATTGGTATGGAGTGTAAAAAATCCCATTCTTTCAGTTTGATCAGAGGGTGTGGGTGGAAAGACTTTCCGATTCTGTTGCATTCTTATACCAGAAAATTCATGGCAAATGTGAGGAGTCAGAAGGTAGTAGCATTTTATGAATAGGCATTTATACCATCCTCCACAAATATCAAATACACAAACATACAGAACTTGTGCAGCTGATTTGTCTGCAAATACATGCTGAATAGACATTTTGGGGTTTCTTCACTCCTGCTGTAAAGGAATGATAAGTTACTTATCCTTTCTCCAGAACTGTTAGACGTACTGACTGTCACTGTCAAAGGTTATTGCACTTAACTTATTTAGACAAATTAACACCAGTTATTAAATGAGCAATATATAATTGTGAATAGAAGTGCCAAGGATCATGCTGAGTAACAGACTCTATAGTTATGTTTATAAAAAAAATGACACCTCAAGTCCTGTATAATTAGACCTTGTAAGTACTGTGGTTTTGAATTGAGATGCAGCATTTGCAGTGGGGAGAAAGTTTGAAGTTCTGCCATTTTTTAATACTACAAAATTACAGTATTTTTAACTGTAATTTTGTTTTTAACTGCTAATATTTCAGTGGCTACTTCTCAAGTGCTGTCAAGGTTAATAATTTGCTGTGGTAACTTAATTCTCAAATTTTGCTGAGTATAAAATATTCAGTGGCTTCTAAAAGTTCTGCACAATTGTTTATCTTAGCTTATTACAATGATATGATAGTCTGACAAGATACAGAACATAATTTATATGAAAGTAGGGCATTCTAACCAAAATATGAGTCTGGTATAAGGAAAAAATGGACAAATATGAAACCAACAACAAAAAACCTAAAAAAACCCCTTAAAATCCTAAGATTGTTTTTCATTGTATGGAACTCCTCATACAGTTAGTGAGGTTTCCTGTTTTTTTGGTTTTGATTAATTTTTTTTTTAGTTCTATTTAAATTTTTAAATTAAAAAAATTTCTTAATTAGTTGAGCTCTAGTATCCTACTGCAATTTTCACTGTAACAAAAATATTTGAGGACTTACTATTATCTGTTCAAGAAGTCCTTCATGGATAAAGAACTGCTCTTGCCAAAGGGATGTTGGTTCTTCCTTATTATGTAGCTTCACTATCCTTTCATAATTTGTTATCCCTCTTTACCTTAGTCTTAGGACTATAAAAGAAAAGTTAACAAAGAGATTACTCAAGAGGTTCAAGTGTTGTTTCCTTCAAAAATCTTGGCTCTGTGCTTCTCTTATTTGCTTTACATTTTCATAACCACCTAGAAAATGGCTTTTAAAGTTTTGTTATTGTTTGTTTGTTTTCCAATTTAATTTTGTCTTTGGTATTTATATATAATTGATAAGTTTAATTGTAAGTTTGAACTTACATTTGTTTAATCCCTGATGACTTTCAACATGTATAGTTTTAATTAGACTTATAAATATCAATTTTCTTTGTAATGACCTTCCTTTCAATGGAATCTTGGTAGTAAGTATGTTGAATATTGAAGTTCCTGTGGCTTCCTAGTGTGATCATTAGTCATGCAGGTAGCAGTTCTTTTGTCTTCCCCTAGTTATATATTCTGTAAGTGCTATGAGTTGATCTTAAAATTGTTGTATGTATTACACACAGCTCATAAGTATTTTCATATTCTCATCATATTTGTTATTGTTTAATATTTTTTGGTGAGTATCACAAGTTTTGTATCCTCTCTTTGTCTGTTGTCCCTGTAGCACTCCATTCCCACAGGAATATGAGGATGCCATTAAATAATGTTTCAATTTTTGTTGACTTGCCATCCCATGTCAAGGGAATAAGGTTTGTTGCACTTTTCAAAATGAGTTGCAAGTGCTCTTAAATGAATAATATAAATAATACTTAAGTATTTTGAGTAATAACCAAAAGTACTGAAACACCAAACTCTTGTTTCAGAACTGGGACCTATTAACATGTTGAAGATAAGTTTAGGTGTTGTCTGTGTGTTCTAGTTGCTACAGAGTTAAATGAGCTTTCCCTTCTCTGTGGCTGCATATATGGTTTTCATGCCTCACTAACTGAATTTTCCCGTCAAGTTCCAGTGGGTCTGAATGAAAGGTAAATTGCTAAATTTTAATTAGCTAAAGCCTTGGTGAAGTATAAATTAATTTAAGGAAAAAAAATCATTGATAAACAAAGTTCTTTACCTCAGAATTCTAGTTCTTCCCCCTGTGCAGGTAAATCAAACCTCTGAACTACCTGCTCACTCTTTGATGTCTTCTTTGGACAATATTATTTCACTGTATTGGTGTGCCAACTTTGACATCTTATGCTTGGTAGTAGTATAAGTAAGCTGGTGTTATACAGTGTATATAATGATTAACCTGTGGTAGCTCCAGAATGTCTACCTGCCGACTTGTTTTGGGCACTAAGGGTTCAAAACTCTCATTTGTAAATGCTGTTGAATTTGGAAAGTGTTTTGACTCACATTTACTGCTGTCATGTGATTTACTTCACTAAACAAAATAATATATTGAAAAATTCTTAATCATTTCAGAGACTAGTTTCCCATTGGCTGCTTAGTTGTAGTTTTCATTGTGTGAAGAGCTTTCAGAAATCTTAAAAAAAGTTGATCTACTGTCCTTTCTAAGGTACTCCAGAAGAAATTATTTTATCTACTCTTACAGTAATGTTTGGAACTTTTCTAAGCCAAAATAAAATGCTTACAGTCCAAAGCATGTGAACTTTGCAATTTTTTAAAAAAATTGTGTTAACATAATCTGTAGCACCTGATATGGAAAATTTAGTTCATAAACTAGTTTATGTAAGTAGAGTAACCAGTTTTGCATAATAGATGTTCCAAGGAGACATAAATACTTATCACTATACCTACTGCATGCAGTTAGCCCCCTTCCTTCAGTCTGCAAGGAGGAGAACTGCTGGAATCCCAAACAGTGCAAACTCCATGCAAAATAAATGCTTGTTCGGTATGTAACAAATAGTCACTGCTGAATGCTTTGATAAATTCTAGAGTGCACTCTGTTGGTTTAAAGGAGGATGACTTACTGAAGAGAATAAACTTTCTTTAGACAGGTTTTTCTATGCTTAGGGAAGTTTTGCCATGAAAGGAAACATGACTTAAGGAATTTACTTGTTTATACAAGATTTAGATATAACCAAGATTCAGAAATCCAGTGAAACTTTTATACTAATGCTTACTCCTGGAAAAATACAAGCTGTGCTGTTATTTTGGTTTTAGTTCATCACGTCCTGTAATTTGTAGCTTTTTTCACCTGGCACCATCTCAAACTTAACTGACTAGCTAAATATGGTGAATAACTACTGAAAACCTTCACAATAGTCCCAGCCACATTTCACTGCTATCTGCAAGGTTTGCCTTTTATGTGAACTGTAAGTACAGGAACCAGGAATTTTCAAAATGCTTGTATAGGAGAGTGGCATGCCACAGGCCATGGGCGACCAGCAGAAAAGCTGTACCAGTGCTCTGAATAAAGTGGGCAGGTTCTGCAGAAACACTTCATAGACTGGCAGCACACTCTGAAGACGTTGTTTTCCTTGTAGCTTATCCTTCCTCATGTTGATTACCACAATGGCAAATTACAGTGAGGCTGGCAGCTGCATTGGAAACTGCCTGGAAACAAGACAAGAGTCAGCATGACCTGCCAGAAGTGTGACCTTCCATCATGTGCGTGAGGAGAATTTTTCTTTTCCTGCCTCTAAACAGATTCACACATTTTTTTCTGTGATTCCTTCTGTTGCATTGGACATCTTTAGGGCATGCACTGATCATTAGGGGTATTTTTAGGAAGTCTAAATAATAGCAGAGGCGTATTTTGAAATTTCCTTCTAGCAGCAGCAAAAGGGCCAGCAGTTCACATCATGTGGCTGCTGCTTCAACAAATATACATCTACTCTAGTAACATTTTCCCACCCAAACATAGAGTCTCGGTGAGACCATGTGCTTTTTGGAGTCTAGGTCACACTGAAGACTATGCACTGAAAACGTAACCATTTAGGCTCTGCCCTTTGCTTAATTCTTGTGCTGCTAGTCTTTAGTCAGAAAGTGACAACACAGAAATTAAACTACCTTAACTTTATGGGGGAAACGGCTGAGATGGCACATCTGAGTTGTCCATCTGTGGAAATCGTGGAAAGGAAAACAGGAAAAAGGAAAGGAAAAGCTCTTGTTTTCTGAGGTGATTGGAACATTGTAACTCTGATGTGCCGCTGGTTGATACCGTTTGCCCACCTGTGTTTTGCGCGGGTTTTGATGTTTTTATGAACAAACCACGATGGACCACGATGACGATGGAATGGGGGTATCAGTGGAGCTATAGGAGTGGGGGCTGCTCCCTCGCTTGGGACAGCGCCGGGCCGGGCTGCCTGTGCTCGGCAGGCGCGGGCGGCTGGACAGCTCTCCGGGTCCCGGGCGGGGCCGGCGGCCGAGGGGAGACGGAGGCACTCAGGCCCCCGGCCCCGCTCGGCCGGCGGCCCCGCCTCGGGCGCACCGACGTCAGCGCACGTCAGGGCCGAGCCCCTCGCCCTCCCTCCGTCCGCAGTTCCGCTGTCCCGTCGCTCCTGCTCTCCGTGTCCCGCGTTGGGCTCCCGCAGCCGCCGCCCCAGCCCGGCCCGGCCCCCAGCCCGCTCTGCTCCCCGACAGCCGCGCAGCACGAAGATGGCGACGTTCAGATTCCTCCTCCTCGGCCGCCGCATCCTCCTTCCCGCCTCACGCAGGGCTGAGGTAAGGGCGAGGGGCGGCGGGGAAGGCGGGTCCGAGCCCATCCGCCTCGCCCTGCCCACCGGGTGACCTTGGCGGGGCCCCCGCTCGCAGCCGCCCGCCCGGGGCTCGGCGTGTGCGGCGGGGGTAGCGAGCCCCGGGCGGGCGGCCGCCCTGCGCCCGTGGGGAAGGAGGGCTTTGTTCGCCAGGGTTTGTCCTGCGGGCGGCGGCAGCAGGAGCGGGGGCAGAGCGCGGCCGCGCCGCAGCCCCGGCCCGGCAGCGGGTGGGGATGCGGTGACCTTGAGAGGCTGGCAAGAAGGGTTGGCTTTGAGGTTCTTTGGTTTTGTTTTTATATTTAATTTATATTACTAATTTAGAACCCGATCATTTCAGAAAGGCAGCACGGTTACAGTGTGTTACTGTGTATTCCCGTGTTGCTCTCACCGCCTCCTCCCCCGGAGGCGGGCAGCAGGTGTGCAGTGCTCGCTGGCAGCCCCGCCATCTACTGCTATCTATAAACGTGTGCTGTGCAGCCGTGCAGCCCCCTTCCTATGGGAAGCTTCTGCGAAATCTCACGGGTTTAATTGTTTCCAGCTCACATGTAACCATAGCAAAGTTATTTTTTCGTTTCTTGAGCTAGAAGTGTCTCTGTGGCTTTTCTTAATTTATTTTATTTGAAAAAGCTCACCTTCTCATGCCTGTGTTTACTACTCCTGATATCCTTATGAACAAATCTTAGCACTTTCAGGCTTTGTTTTACTATGTCATATTTTTCCTTTTCCAGATAATTAAAATCTGTTGATTATTCTAGGAAGGAGCTAATCTGTCCCCATGTTACTTCCTTAAACCTACCAGAATTTTTGCCAGTTCCTAAGGGCCTAGCTTGCTGCTTCAGTGTGCAGGAAAGCATGGGTGATCCCTGGTGCCTCAGGTCCCTGAAAGCCCGTTGCTCTCAAACAGTGGGGTGGATGGAAAGGGACGAGGAGAGGAACATATTTAGGATAGAGGAGCAGATACACTCATTAGACACATCCAACCTGCGAATGCATACATGTGTAACACATGCTTCTCTTTTCACCACTGTTGCACACAATTGGGAAGATTAAAGAAAAGGTACCACGTGGCCTCCGAAATACTTTCCTATGCATGGGTACAGGGACACAGCAGAGGCCTGGCTTCCTTCCAGCCCTGGCCCTCAAGCCCTCTTGCAGCCCTGTTCTACTGTGATTCCCAAAGCTGCCAGCACTTAATATATCTCTGGACTTGCTCTGACAGGTCCTTGTCCTTCTTATTCAGAGGACCCCAGGGCTGGATGCAGTGCTCCAGGTGGGTCTCAGCAGAGCAGAGCAGAGGGGCAGAATCCCCTCCCTCCCCTGCTGCCCACGGGGCTCTGGATGCAGCCCAGGACACGTTTGGCTCTCTGGGCTATGAGTGCCCATGGCTTGGGCATGTGCAGCCTCTCACCCACCAGCAGCACCAGTTAGTCAATCGGTTCCTCGCCTAGTCTGTACAGGCCTGGGATTTTCCTGATGCAGGTGCAGCACCAGCATTTGGCCTTGTGGAGCTCTTTAAGATTCCCATGGACACGCTTCTTCAGCTTGTCCAGGTCCCTCTGGATGGCATTGTGTCCCTTAGGGTTATCAGCTGCACTGGTTAGCTTGGTGTCACCTGCAAGCTGGCTGAGTGTGGAGTTGATTTCTCTTTGTCATTGATGAAGATATTAAGCGGTTTTGGTCCCAGTATGAACCCCTGAGGAACATAAATATCCATCAGGACTCTGAGCCTTTGGCCACTCCCCTCTGGATGTGGCCATCCAACCAATTCTTCATCCACCAAATCCATGCAGTCAAATCCATCTCTCTCCAAATTAGAGGCAAGGATGTTGTAGGGGATGGTGTCAAAAGCTTTATAGAAGCGCAGATGAATTCATAGCCCTTCCCTTGTCCACTGATGTGGTCACTCCATCACAGAAGGAGTATGATCAGGCAGGGCTTGCCCTCAGTGAAGCTGTGCTGGCTGTCCTGAATCACCTCCCTGTCCTCCTGTGCCTTAGCACAGCTTCCAGGAGGAACTGTGCCATGGCTTTCCCAGACACAAAGGTGAGGTTGACAGATTGGTAGTCCTGGGGTCCTCCTTTTTTTACCCTTTTTTAAAGATAGGCACAATGTTTCCCTCAGGGAAGTCTCAAGGGCCTGCACCTGGCTCCATGACTTTTTGAGTACCATGGATCAATGGAGAAACATTCATGGTATAATTTGACATGCAGAAGGCTGTTGCAGTTTTTCTCACATTACATTGTTTCTTATGACCCAAGTACTGATTTTTTTATTGGGACCATCAAAGCAGAGGAACATCAGGGTCTCCACTGGGAAGGAGGTAAGCTTCCATTCAGAAGGGTTTTCTTAATATTCAGTATAAACTCTTGCAGCTTTAATTATAAAAGAGAACATCTTGTGAAATACTGAAAATGCGCCAAAATTTGTTGCCCCGGTTGTAACTCTAGGTAACTCTTAAGGTAACTCTTCAGGGAAGAATTTGACTATTGTCCTCAAAATGTATAGATTACCTTGTTTATTTATTAATTTTTCTCACTCTTTCACAATATAATTGTTTTTACTCCTGCTATCAAGCTAGAACTTGAAACACCAGTAAGTAGTACTTTAGCTTCCAGATTTTCTGAATTTACTGAGACTGTTTCAACATTGTGACTTAGGTGTCAATTTTTCTTCTGGTGCCTGAACAAATACTTGAGTAGTATTAATGCATGGTATTAGTGATAAATACTTAAAGAGGAAAAAAAGGTAACTGTGACTAAATACCAAACATTACATACATAAGTTATAATGACTACTGTGTAATGGCTTTGCACTGTGAGGTCCAGGTTTGGGGGTGGGATTTATATTGATTTCTCTCTTGCCCTTCATATTTCATGCATTTCTTGGAGTCTCCTTGTTTAGGGGCTGTTCTTCAACAACATACGGATCTCTAAGACCGCATTAGAAAGCTCTAAGACCGCAGAAGGAATCTGGGGGAGGGTTCACTCTGTGGAAGGGTGTCCCTGCTTACCATAATGCCAGTACAATGTTGTCATTCCTATTGTTCCCTGACTTCCACTCAGATCTTGTGGTGGTGTTCTTTCTTTCAGCAGTTTCTGTTTATGTTTAGTGTCTGGAGGTCTTTGAAGCTCATGTAGCAATATATAGGTTTAAAGAGTCTGTGGATGGCTCCAACTTGTGCTGAGGAATTGCATTTGTCAATCTGTTCTCAGAAAGGAACAATTTGTCAGTAATTCAGGGTGGAATTCTCTTGTTTTGGAGACCTGTACTTTACTTCCCTCCCTCCTCACCTCTGCTCTTCCTTCCCCATACCCCCCCTTAGTATTTACAGAAGCAGTATCTTTTTCTATCTGTTTCTCCCTTATCTTGCCAGAGGCATAGTCTTCATATACAAAGCTACTGTATAATGTATTTTGTTCATTGTTTTGTTTGTTTTATTGTTGTTGTAGATCTGTGGATGCCATTTTTCTACTAGCTGTCATCTCAACACCAAATTTTACACTGATCCTGTTGAAGCTGTGAAAGATATACCCAATGGGGCAACTATACTCGTTGGTGGTAAATATTTCAATTCTTTATGGTTACAGTCATGTTATGTTAATGAGACACTTTTTACTCATTTACCTTGTTTCTTTTACTATTAACTAATTTGAGAATCCAAGGAATTGCATGATTTTTTAAACAAGTGCTTTCCTACTCTGCTCATGAGGGGTTTACTCTTTCAGTGAGAAAGTCCAGGTTGTGTCATAGAGAAGGGGAAAAAGACTCAGAAAAATAGGTTTTTTTCCCCCACTAGCAAAAACTGGACTCTATTAATTGAATATAGAAAATAAGCTTGGGAATTTTCAAAGTAGCATTGTTATTTCATAAACCATGTTATTTAACATGGTTTCATGTTGTCATTTCACATGGTTTGATTAGTTTGTTTGCATTTTCTATATCCTTTGTCTGCCTAGTCTTTGGGTCTCTGTGACCTTCAACAAACTGCCTAACCTGTTTCTGTGTTAGGACATGAAGATAATACTTATCTATGTAACACTTAATGCTTATGTGTGGTATTTCCAGAAGAGTCAAGAAGTTGCATCATACTAACTTTCACCGTGACTTGCACCTTTGGATATTCAAGACACTTTCCACAATTTCATGCTGTGCAATCTGCATTTAAAAAAAAAGTGTTCCTTAGGTTGTTTTAGTATTGCAGAATAATGAATGTAACATTGTAAAGCACTTCAATGGAGATATATAACAAGGCAGAATTCCTTCTGCAGGAATTTTGTTTGTTTTTGTTGTTGTTAATTCATGAAGAAAAGAAGATTTGCCGCCAAGATAGGTTGGCCTTGAAGATCTTAGGGGTCTTTTAGAATCTAATTGATTCCATGATCCTGTGAAAAGGTAGTGCTTGTAGTGTGACGTGTTATTTCATTTTAGATGTACTGGACCCTTGCATAATAGATGGGAGTGTGAGGCTCTTGTGCCTTGGTGGAGATCTAGATTACTGTGATTCCAGGCAGATATCCTCCCAAGAGTGTTCAGACTCCCAGAGTTTTATCACGTAATTACACGGGCAAAGCTATGCGGTGTGCAGCAAAGATAGGAAGGTTAAATGGGTAGAAAGGGAAGGAGGAATAATGCGTGCAGAGTTGAGGACACGCATAAGGAGAGCCATGGCCCTGGAGCACTTCCCTAAAGGCCCACTCTGATGGGTAAAGAGCTTTCTCCACACTAGGAAGTGTCTGGAGAGTGGGAGATTTCAGTACTAGAGTCTTTCTGGAAATGTGGATTTATTTGGTTGACTAAGGAGCTTCTCAGAAAAGCTTTTTAATTCCCATACTTCTGAACATTCTGTGTTCTTTCAAACACTTGTTTTACATAGTCAATTTTTTTTAAATTTTGTGTAGGTTTTGGATTGTGTGGGATTCCTGAAAACCTCATTGGGGGTTTGCTGAAGACTGGAGTAAAGGGAATAACAGCAGTCAGTAACAATGCAGGGTAGGTATTCCTATGTCTGTGGTTTAATAAGAAGAGCCAAAAAATTCCAATTATGTGAAAAATCTGATATATATGAAAAAATCTTTCTTTTCACCATCATAATTTTATATTAACCAGACAGCATGGTTTGAAAGTGTTACTTTTGGAAGGAGCCCAGGAAGCTCAGAACTATATGTATACTTAAATTTGTCAGGGATCAATTGTCATGGTGTAGAGTTGCAGTTATATTACTACAAGTATTTATATTTAAATTTATATATACTTAACTGGTTGACTGTAACTGGAAAGTCTAACTGAGAAGCTTTAAATCTAGTATCAGTGATTTTGTGTGTATGTTTTTTTGTGAAGTTCCAAATAGGGATATATTTTTTAAACTCAGTTTGGTGCCTTCTGACCCTCTTAGTGTATTTGTTACTTTAAAAAAAAAACTCAAAGAAACACAAAAACAGCAGAGAATATCTATGATGAATGAATGGAGAGTTCTTTAATGGGTCTTCAGATTTTTTTTTTTTTTTAAATGTTTCCCCCTTAAGAAATTCATGTGGAGCTGAAATTGAGAATACTTTTTTCATGCATAACCTCTCATCTTCTCATTCAGGTTAATTTTTACACAAGATATTCATTGTAGTAAGCTCCACAATACCTAATGATTTCCATATAGAGAAATGACTACAACCACTTCTGTTGAAGTACATTGATGAAAATATAAATGAAATTAAATAAAAATATTAATATGTAAAATATTAATTGCGCATTCATTTGATAACAAATGATTTGTATTGGTATTTGGTACATACACTCTCAAACTTAAGCTCCTTAGAATCTTGTGGGAAACAATTTCTGCTGGATGATAAAAAGGAGAAAAAAAAAGAGAAATAATTTTGAGTGGAAAGATCGAGCACTAGAGTAGAGATCATTAACTTTCCTCATGATCTTATTTTTGAATAGCATACATATATTTGCAGATAGAGAGATTGCACAGATGTTCCTGAAGAGGAGGTGAAAGTCTGAATATGAGAAAAAGTAGAAAGAGGAGCACCGTGGAATAGGATGAAAAGGAAGACATTTTGTATTGCATTCTGAATATAGTTACTGATGTTATAGGTTAGAATTAATTTATGTTGAAATAATGTTAACTTTCCTGAAAGTTCTTTGGGATTTGAGGCGAAAGTGATTTCTGTAAAACTATTGGCTGTTGGCAGGAAAGCAAAATTTAATTCCTGTTCTCTTGAAACTAGTTTTGTATGAACATTCATGAAAGTCTGGAGTTCCTCACAGAACAGTGTAACAATTTGAAAACGCTCAAGGGCATCTAGAGTTTTTTCTAAAAGTCTAGTTTGTAAAAATACAAGTTTTACTCATCTGTTGAACAGTCCAATTTATTTTGAAATATAATTAATAATAAAATAACTGCTTAACCTATCTTTGCATTTACTCTACTCCTACTATGTGGAACTTAGCCTGCTATGGTATGGTAGTGTTTGGGAGCCAAGGTAAAACACAGCTGTTGTCATAAATTAAGTCAGAATTCTCATTACAGCAATTGATACAATTTCTAATCTTCTAATTAGCCTGTAAAAAAAGCATGCTTTTCTAATACCATGCGTCTTCTTAGCATCTTCTAATACCATGTTCAAAAGTTTAGTGGTTTTATCAAATATTGGAGCATTAATAAATGCTTTTGTGACTGAAGTAGTCCAGCAATCATATACCGTACAGCAGTTGTATTCAAAGGGTCAATTGTTCCTGTAATGTTGAGGTGTCAGGCATTTTGTGGAATGAGTAATTTGGCACTTTGAAATTGCCAGTTGGTTTAGTGTGCTTTTCTTTGGTGACCTTGTGTTGCAGTTGATGCCTGGCTGTGTTTCAGTTTCTTGACTGCAGCTGCTTTCTTTTCTCCAACTCTTCCAGCACATAGGAGGTAATTGGTTATGGTCAGTTTTTTTTGTCCTGCGGGGGTTAGCAGGCAGCTTGTAATTGGAGCAGGGAAGGAGCCAAGTGCACAGACAGACAGCCTATTCTGGAGAGCAGTGCAGCTACATGGATTAAGTCACATGCCTTTCAATATGTGAGAACCACAGAATGTTACAGAGCTGTCTGTTTATACCTAAAATAGCAGCAACGGAGACAGCGATTCACTTATATCTAAGGGAAAGCAGTAATTGGGAAGTTCTGAAATGTTGGCAGCTTTTCTAGCTGGAAGCAAGGTTCAGCAGAGCCTAGAAATGCTTGGCAGTGTCAGGAAATGACTTTAAAGGAGTAGGATGTTCACAGTTCACAAACTACTTACTGTTCTGTGCTGCAGTGTAATTGGGAGAAGATTCCTCCTGCAAAAACTTGTTCAAATCATGTAATTGCTGGCGAGTGAAGTCCTGTTTTTGGCCTATTTAAGGCTTTTCAATGACAGCCTGTACAGTAGTGTATGGGGTGCTGTCACACTGCTCAGTTTACTGTCTGCTGCTGCACATTATGCTTGTGCTCATGCTGTGTGCTAGCCAGTGAAACAGCGCCTTTAAGAGCAGTTACTCTTTTGCCAAGCCAAACAAGGCAAAGTGTTTGAAAGTAAAGCAGTTCAAATATCCAGTACCTCTGGTATTTACACAACTTGCTGCAGGGGAAATTGAAGCTTGTGAACCAGGGCAATCGTGCAAGATAACTGCAATAGATAGGTGTGCTTCTGAAATACATCCTCTCACACTTTCTCCTATAAATTGTTGTGCTTATATTTTTCATCCTGGAAATACTTTATTTACACTGTGTTTTTGTAAGCCCTTTAAATTGAGAGTATTCTATTTTAGTAGGCTACCAAAATCCATTTTATTGCAGATTTTCTTAATTCCTGGTTTGATTTGTTCCACATTTGCTAGTATTAAAATCAATAAAAATATATTAAAATAGTAAGTAAATGAAAGTGAATGAATCAATAAATAAATAAATTTTTAAAATATTGTTTTATACATTGGTTCAGTAAATTCCCAACATAGCTGTGATTAGTAAATAGTACCTTTTTGGCTGTTTTCTCCTCCCCGTGTATCATGGTATCTTGTTGCATACTGATTTAAAGTTACTTGGAACTTGGGACTTGGATGTATTGGCTCAGCTTATGCTAAGACTTTCCTAATGCAGGTTACCTGTTGTTTCAGGACCTGTGTTGCAACAAAAACTATCAGCATAGCCAAATATTGCAAATGAAAGTTAAAAAAATGTGCATGAAATTATTATTTTTAATTAATTGTGCTTAATAAAATGGATAAATAATTTTGGTTATAATCACATACTGAAATCAGCATTTTCATTGTATTTGTCACCTGAATAGGCTGAATTTTGCAGACTGAAAATGAAGCCCATTATTTGTGATAACTGTGTGTGTGGTTTGATTGTTTTATCAAATTTTGATTTTGTCTTATTTTGAGACTTAAAAATGCATCATTTTTGAATGCAGTAGTGTTGGACAAAAGGTTTTCACTTACACTAAAAATAGAGAAGTCACAGTTAAGATCATAATTGCTTATCACCTGGGCGATCATCTGAAAGGAGATTGACAGCATCTGTCAGATTATCACTGGTTCAGACTGTGTTCTTATAAGGCATTATCAGCTTCTTGAACTTTGGTCTCTATATTCTTTCTGAAGGTCTCTTAATGTTACAATAGTATATATTAGGAAGGGAAAGATGACTTTAGGAACTTGCATTTTTGAGCATGATGCCTGAGTGCCATTATTTAGCCCTGTTAAGCATAATACTCTTGTTTTCTTAATAGGCTGGGCTATTTGTGGTTCCCAAATCCCCAAAAGGCAGTGCTCTATGGGATCAGATGCAGTGGTAAACTTACTGCACCCCATATTCTAAAGCACAAAATGTATCTTTATATTCTTCACAAGTAAATAATTTGGATTTAAGACAGGTTGGATAAATGTTCTGTAAGTTAAAATTTAAGGTTATCTCATATTTCAGGCATTGCTTTGAATTATATTTTTCTGTTAAAACCAGAACTTTCTGCCATCTTTGCCATGGATTGCCTGTTTTTTCTTGCATGTGGCTTAATTCCACTGTTATTCTTGCTAATATGTATCTGTCTATCTGTCTGTCTACCTATCTGTCTTTATATTACTTACTATTGATTATTAAAAACATATTCAAATGTATATCTGTATGTGGAAAAATACCATTGTGTGGAAAATTGTGTTTTAAATTCACAGAAGGTTGTGAAGTTTTTCCATACAGTATTAAGTATTGAGTGGTTTTAGTAGAACAAATTAGATAATCTCTTGGTTCAGAAAGTGAAACGTAACCGAAAATGTCCGAGGAACAGGCAAGGAGGCTTGTATGTACACAGAGATGGGATCAAGGTGATGCTCAGAGTGTCTTACATTGTGTGTGTCATTTCTATATATTCATAAGAAATTCTTTAAATATCCCAAATTAAATATATTTTCAGAAATGAAAATCAAGGCCACCAGTGACTCTTACCTCTCTTGGTAGAGAGAAAAAAAGTGTAGTTATGTAAAATTCTACACATGGCAAATTGCCAGAATCAGGAGACTATGTATTTTCAGTGAATTTGATCATTTGAATTTGATTTTTTAAAAAATTGTCTGCATTCTTTATAAAGAATCTAATCAGATACTTCATTACAGGTCTTAAATTGCTGACACTGTTTGAACTGCAAATCCCTGAAAATCTGCCTAGGTCATCTAGCTAATTTTAGTGTGGAGGTGATTTAGGATTTTGGCAGTGCAAGTTGTACTAACTTTGTACTACGTGGAACTATTGAGAAATCAGCTATGGAGATAACTTTCTGGTTGTAATGACAAATGAGAAAAAAATAGATATAGAACTCAGCATGGTTGAGGAATTGGTTATAGAAATGACAATGGATGTTAACCTATCTTTTAGCTAGGTGACTTTTGAAATGTGATACATTTATGATGATATTTAAATATTTATCAGATTACTTCTATACGATATACCTTCTCTGTGAAGGAAAAATATGGTACATT